GTGCGCCGTGCTGATGCTGCGCGCCCGCAACGACGCCAAGCTGATCAAGCGGGCGAAGCTGTACCACTTCACCCACCCCCACCACGCCCTGGTCGCCGCCCACGCCCGGCTGCGGCTGTACACGGCGGTGGGGATGGCCCAGGATAAAGTGGTGAAGCGGGTGCGCCTGAAGCGGGCGCTCTTCAGCGACGCCCGCCGCCCGCCGCCGACGCCGTTGTTCGGCGACCTGCCGCTGAAGCTGCTGACGCTGCTGGTGCTGCTGTTGGCGCTGGTGTTTGACTCGCTGGCGCTGCTGGTCATCAGCGACGCCGTCCCCATGGCGTTCGAGTTCCCCCCGCCCAGTTTGCTGGCCAAGCTGCTGCGGGCGCGGTTGCTGGGCACCCCGAAGGAGGCGCTGCCGATGGCGCTGCCGTTCTTGACCCTGATCGAGGACTCGGCGGCGCTGACCCCCTCGTTCATCGACCCCATCAACGACCTGCCGGTCGACTTCGCCGTCCCCATGGCGCACAAACGCAATCTGTCGGCGTTGACGCTGATGTTGTATTCGTTTGTCGAAGAGTAGCCGTGGTCACCCCTAATCAATTGACTCACGCTACCCGCTTAATTTCCTCTCGCATACCCCCCGTGATATACTGGTCCATCGAGCGCGAGTGCCGCTCGCTACTTTTCATCTCATATTTCTTCTAATGGTTAATGACCCTCCTCCTCTCTAGCTAGGACTAATGACACATCTAATTCATTATCAATTTACACTAAGGATCGACACAAGTCATTGCCTCATTGCCGCCATTGTTAGCGCAAAAATCAGCCATAAACGGCTCTTCATCCTCCGCCTCCATTCACTAACTATGTTTTTGTGTCCACACGTCGCGGTCGTCCCGGCGAGTTCCGGGGATATCGGATCAGATCACCCATTGTCCGGCCTCGTCAACACAAAATCAACCGTGCCACTAGTAGCCATTGAAACTGTCGAACCCCGCCGAAACTTGACTTATTCAGCGACCGCATCCCCTACCAACATAGTCTACACCTATCATCATTAGTAGTCTCCCTTTTTTTGTTGATGATGGCTGGGGCCCGCCTCGGTGTGTGTCTGGAAATTTACACGTGCCTCTGCCACAGCACCAGTCACCCTCATCGCAGCCGGCTTTCTCGTGTAGCCTGAAATTCATGTGTGATACCCAATCGAGCGTTCGGGGAAGAAATGCATCGCCCCCGTCATCACACTACGGCAAGACATATACGTGGGCTCGCGCCGTGCCATGACCCCATTGTAACGTATGTCGCGGTGACCTTAAATCACAGTAATAATCCTTTGACGGTCGTGCCCCTCATCGTCATCCATCTGACACGATCGACAAATACACTCGTATTAAGAAAATACTACTGCGGTGAATATCGTTATGTTTTGACGACCTGGCGTCGGCGTTTAAGGCTATTTTTATTCCAGTCGTCTGGCGGTTGTTTGACTTAGTGGTTGAGTAGCCCTGGTCACGTGCGAAAAACACCTCTCCGTATTAACGTTAAAGCCTTAGTTAGCCTCCATTGGCAGCCTTTAAAGCAGTTACAAACAACCCCACTTTTTCTCCGTGTATTCCTAACCAGTAGTAGTATTAATTACATGTTTTAGTCCTCAAAAAAGACCCTTAAAGACCAACAGTCCCTCCGTCGCTAAACTGAGGCGCCCCTGCACTGCCAAATGCTCTCGGAAACGACACCGCTGCCAGAAAAACATCTGTAGGTAGTAGGGGGAGAATCGGAGCTGTAGGTCTTTTTAGCCGGCACGCTTCGAAACTGCACCTTAACCCCGGATTCGGGGGACGAGAGAAAAAACCGCTGTGTTAGGTCTTTTAGCCGGCACGCTTCTAAACTGCACACATTAACGCCGGATTCGGGGGACGAGAGAAGAAACCGCTGTGGCATTAACCGTATTCAAAATCCTGAATCCCTTAGCTTTCCACTTCACCCACGCGAGCGTTATCCTTCTCAATTGCTTTTTGTCGTTCTTGTTCGTGGTTAAGCTCACGGATCATTTTCTCCTCTTCCTCAGTGAGCCCCAGGATATCCGGAGGCACCTGTTGCATTTGCACCAGAGGCGCGTGACCTAGCTGGCGGATCTGCTCCAAGATCGTCGTCTTTACCAGCTCCAAGTACTTCTTCAGGTTCTTATTGTCTATGCGTCCTTCCAATTGCGGGTGCAACGAGTAGTCGGGCCCAAACCAGTTGTAGGTGTCGAGATAGTTGGGAATCTTGGCGTCCAACGTCACGTCGTTGAGCACGGAGGTCTCGTAGCACCAAAGCCGACTCACGTTGCGTGGCGTGTAGCCACCACCACCAACTACAAGCATGGGAATACCGTACAGCTTGATGAATTTGACACACTCACCGTGAGCACGAATATTAAGATTAAAGCAGCCAAGACGGTCGTAGCCAAGCGAGTCAGCACCACACTGTTGGACGATAGCTGTTGGCCGGAACTTAGCTATAAGCGGTTCCATCACCAGTTTAAAAAGGCGAATATAGGAGTCATCGTCAATACCATCGCGGAGAGGCACATTGATCGCGTAGCCAGCACCTTTACCGATCCCGGTTTCGTCGACAGAACCAGTACCGGGGAAGAACTCCCCGTTATATTTATGGAAACTCACCGTCATCACCCGGTCACTAGTATTGAATGCTTCCTGGACCCCATCGCCGTGATGGAGATCGATATCAATATACATCACCCGTGGATGGACTCGAAGTAAATTGATAATGGAAAGGACAATGTCGTTAACGTAACAGAACCCCAGTGGCTCAAATTTTTTGGCGTGGTGGAGGCCTCCCGACCAATTAATGGCAATATCACTCATGCCACTTATAAGCTTTCTAGTGGCATCTAACGAAGCTCCGGCGTACATCAGCAGATAGTCATACATCCCGGCAAACACAGGACAGTCGTCACCGATGTTAAACTGGCACATCGTCTCGTCGCTGAGCTTAACGTCGGGAACTACCGTCTTGAGGAAGTCGATGTAATCGGCTGAATGGAACGCCGTCATCTCTTCGCGAGTAGCTGCTCGTGGCTCGTACACGTCCATGACATCGTAGAGGCGGTACAGCGTCACCAAGTGGTCCGTCAACATGAGGCGGAAGGGCTTCATCGGATGTAGCAGCCCGTAGTGGTACCGCAGCACCAGGGGATTGAAATGATACAGCACCTGCTGGTGGGTTTTCTGGCCATTCAGATAGAACAACGGCGTGTGGGCCTCGGTTTTGGCATCCACGGTGAATGTGGGTGTATCCATAACCGGCGGCGTTGGGAAGATGAATTTGCCCGTGCGGCGCGCGCCCCCATAAAGAAGAGAGACACTCAGAGACGTCCATCGAAATCCATCATTTCCCCACTGAAAAAAAAAGATGACCATACGATAATAGTGGCAACAGATCCGAACTTTTCAAGAAGTTTCATATGGGTCCAGTGGTGTTCCTTCACATGATTCGAGGCTGACGTTGAATAACCAAAACATTGGGCCATCGCGATGAGCAATGCAACCATAAGCTGAGGCCACGCTAAGCATGACGTGAAGCGATGTAGCAGTGGGCATTTTTCTAGTGACGCTATCCGTTGTACAATCTACCGCGTGAACGTTTGCTGTGCTTCGGTTCCCACCCGAGGCCCGCTAGCGCCTGCGCAGCGATGTAGTGTCTCCCCACCAAGTACTTCAGGCATCAAATAATATGAAGTGTGATAGGCTAGACAAGTTATGTAATGTAGGCCGGTTTTTCGGCATCGCGGGTGGTAATGGGTGGTCACCACCTCGACAGTTGAAACAAAATATGCAAGGGGAGACGAGGGTGTACATGTCCCAACGCAGGGTCGAAAAACGTCTCCAAATCAAAGGGAAGGAGAAGAACTTGGACAATTGGCCATCATTTTCTTCATTAAGAAGTACCCTTGGAGCAAATGCAATTAGTTTGGCCTTTGAATCTAAGAAATTTCCTTCAGTCTCTCTGCATGGGTGTTTGCCGTAAATTGATGACTCAATAAAAACAGGACGCCGCAAATTCAGCTAAGACTGTCGTGAACCCCTCCAAATTGGTGCCGTGTACGTCGAATTGCCGCTACTCCCGAAGATACAGCTGTAATCACGCGCCCGCAGTGGGCTATTGTGTGGATCTGTCCCGCGTCCCAGTGGGTGCGGCCATTCTTCCCAATTGAGAACACCGCTGACTCCACCTTGCCAGGCTTGCTGAAACTGTCTGCAGACAATGGCGACGCTGCGAGGAAAGTGGTGATGAAACAGCCACCCTTTGTTTATGCAGTTTACACAATCCAATGGCTTTGGCTTGCCTCACAGCATCGCAGGGGACGTGCGCTGGTGGTGGCCACGTACAGTTACGCACGCTGGAGTGTGTTAACCTATTTGAAACGAGCCACAATGATGGTGGCTTAATCGACAGCAGGAGGATGAACAAATTGCATTGATAAGTAATAAAGGGTGGGGTCACGTCCTATTCGACTACTTTCATTTTATTCAATGCTCAGGTTAAAGACTGTATTGTCATTATCAAGTTGAAGACTGAATTCGATGTTTTCGGAGTTTTCGGTGAATGCAAATCTTCCTCTCATATAGTCTTGTGGATTACATTAAATCGAAGTCAATTGTGGATTTACCAGCCATACTAATACACTTAATGTTTCACGACACGTTTCGTTCATCTAATTACCAGTGATATTCTTTAATGGTCGCTACCAAGCTTTAATTTCTTATTATCATCACTCGCGCAATTGTTTTGCGCGTCTATCATCCACCCTCACAGTACACTACAAATCCAACGGTACCCCTCACCAGCTAGCCATGGTTGACTACAACAACTACCAGTCACTTCCTCCTCCGGGACAGAACTACTACGGACACACCCCGCAGTCTCAGCAGCCCGCACAGCCCGCCCATCAGCAACTGCAAGCGCCACCTGCTCAATCAGGTCAGAACCCATTTCAAATTGCGCCGGGCGGCTCCCACCCTCCGCCGACTCAGGCACTGAACCACAATATTGCCTCGAAGTTTACCAGCCAGGATATCCTGATTTTGAAGCAACTTTTGGTGGCGGGTGAAAAACACAAATGGAAGCAAATCACTAAGGAGATCAACCACGCGTCGCCCAACAATCGCCTCCACTACCGCACCCAGCAACAGCAACAGCAGGGTGAAGACTCATATCCCCCTACTGCCCCTCGCAATGTTAGCCCCACATTCGTCATCAAGCAATACCAATCACTTTTGGGTCTCCCAAATAACGCCACCTTCTTTGGTACTTTGGGGCTGAGTTTGCCCTACGTTGTCTCTCAACTGGGCTGGGATGAGTTGAACTACCAAGAAACGCACCATCTCTTCAACCACGACATTGAATGAGTTGCTTAGACAGATGAGCTCAAAGGGAAATGCTCTCTTGAAGGGAGCCGGGATTAGCTGTGCTAATTCATTAAATTTGTAGACTAAATTTTTAGATTAAGGAGTTTAATTCAATTTATTCCCACGTAGAATCGAACTTGTGTTTGCAAGAATTCCACTATTTTGTCAAATTTGTCAATTTTTGATTGTAATCTGATATCGTAAGGAAACCACTGAAACAATTTGTCATTACTGAAAGAACAGTATTGAAAAAGCAATACTATGCAAATATTACGTTAAACTATATAAAAATGCTATGTTAAATGCTATTAATCACGTCCCTGATGATGGGATGTGCGGAAACCAACTTCAGATCAGTTTTGGCCCGCTTAGTTCGAGGACTTGATGACAAGTCCAATTCGACATCCTCTTCGATTTCATAGACAAACCCTCGTTTGTCCAACAACTCAAACATCTTCTTCATGGTTGCTGCCGATTCAAGTGTTGACCGCAGACCCATCATAATGAATTTACACTTTGCACGGGTGATGGCAACGTTGATACGTCTGTACTCTTTGACCAATTCTCCAGAGCGCTTGTCCGCATTCAGCCGGGCAAACAGAAGAATCACGACCTCTTTATCCCGACCTTGGTATCTGTCCACAGTCATGATTTCGATATCAGCACCACATGGTCCGACGACACGTTCAAGTAGTTGGATTTGGCCTCGATTCAAAGCCATAATACCAATGTCACTGCTAGCAACACCTGATGCCATTAACTGAACAACCGTTTGTCGAACCAACTCGGCCTCTCCAAAGTTTTCAACATGCCGATCCCCAACAGTCTTCTCTGTGGTTCGAGATCCTAATTTGTCGTGGTCCAAAAATACCACTGCATGGTTCGGGTCAATTGTCCATTTCAACCACAGTGGCATCTCCTGGTTTCGCCATCCATCGTCGAATTCGAGTTTGCGCTGCTCAACTTCTTTCGTGCCGCATCGAAGATTATGCCCATAGATCATATGGTTAGACAATGACATGATGGCGCCATTCATCCGATATTGAAGGCGGAGCTCAGCGACACTCTCAGGGAATGCATCGGCAAGATACTGGAAAAGCAGCACCAGCAACCCTTTGCGTGTTTCGAGTTCTCCGCTAACCACCAAGGGAGGTAACTGGTTATGATCGCCAACAAGAATGAATTTATCCGCAAATCTGAGTGGGCCCAAGCACACGGGGAAAGATACCTGTGATGCTTCGTCAACAATGCAATAATCAAAGTGTGATCTCATGAGGAATGTTATATCATTGAGTGCCAAACACGTCAGAGCAACCACCGGGGCCAGGTATGCTGCAATCATGCCTTCTTTATCACGGAACTCATCAAGAGGGATAAATGGACGAACAAGAGGGTGAACGGCTTGCTTCAGACTGGCGACTCGCATGTAAGGTACCTCGAGTTTTAGTAAGATTGTATCGACGGCCAGGTGGGTATACAGCGTCAAAAGAACCAGCTTTCCTTGGCTGACTAGCTCAGTGATAAGGTGGGCGATCATCGTGGTTTTGCCTGTCCCCGGCATGCCCAAAATGAGAGCGTAGTCTTCCGCCCGAAGACAATGATTTAATGCTTGAATTTGGTCCGGGTTCAAAGAGCCTAATCGGGGCTTGAAGCATGGTGCCTTATTGAAGATTGGGGGTCGCTTTTGCACGATAAGCTCGCGTCGCTTTCTGTCTCCGTCAGCAAGGAACAAGTTCAACAAGTTGAAGCGCACATGATTCATGCCACTGGCAAAGTTATCACGGTCAAGTCGGAACTTATCAGTTTTCGCAAAGTCATGCGGAGTTCTGAGCCGGAGTGAGATCGACTCGGGAGTCATCGCTGTTACATTAGCTCTAGCAAGACAAACATGTGCTCCACGAGACTCCAGCAGCACAATCACTCGCTCTCCCACGTCGATGATGGTGTCCATAGCCGAGCGTGTTAACTCCACTTGATTGCCCTGTTGCAGTAGTACTGATAAGTCTCCTATTGCCTCACCATTTCGTTGCAGCCGTTGGGCGGCAGTCATAGTCCACAAATATTTCATCAGCCCCCTTACGACATTCTCTTCTTTGGTTATCAAATCGTTCCAGTACTCGAAAAACTCCCCATCCTCCATATCAAGATGACCAGTAAGCTCAGCGTATTCCTCCCCATTGATACCCAGTTCAGTTGGAATTCCAGCTTCACACATCTCGTACATCGTCATACAATGGGCCTTAATTTCACAACGATCGCATTCCGACAGTTGAAGAAGCGGGGGAAGTCCAGGATCACCACCGGAAAGAAGATACGGACTGACGCGATTGCGGAGATTGATCAAACTTTTAAGTTCCGAGGGCAGCACCAGCCATAAAGCGATTTCATCCAACTTCGTGTAGCTTAAAAGGAAAGCAGGGACGTCCAATTGATGGCGATCTTTGAAAAGAAGCGAGTAAAGTGTGGCCTGAGCTGCATGGGTGACATATCCTCTACCAGTCTTTATTTCGAGCGGAAGAATCAAATTGTCGGTAGTATCCTTCGTTTGAACTGAAGCCGAAAGCGAACCATCAATTAAACCCCTGAGACCGAACATTGGCAGCCAAATCTCTTCTTCAACTCGCAGACACTCATGAATTTTGAGGCGAAGCTGTCGCACCGGGGTCCCACTTTTATAGGATATTGGAGAACCTCTTCCGTTAAAGTATTGTTCAAAGAACTTCTTAATATTGGGAAGATGCTCATCAAAGATGGTGTTTTTGATCGCGTCAATATCTTCATCAATTATCCACAACTGGTTTTGATATGGTCGTATAAGGTCGTCAACGAGCGTTGGCATTTGCCTTTGTTCGAATTTACCTTCAGCAAGACAGTGTTGAAATATTTCATGCACAACATACCCAATGATAATCACCACCAGCGGCTCACCGGGAATGTTGAAGCGACTCATAAACACCAGCTTTCTCGGGCATACAAGTTGCGAGGCGACAGCGGTGGCCAGAACAAGGGTATCTGGATGCCAAATCAATAGATTAATAGAATCATCCACAAGATGGCGATTTGTGGGATGGGTGAAAATGACGTGGACAATGTCGCCTAATTTAAATGCAAGCTCCAAATATTCACCACGGACAACGATTCGAGTAGCTTTACCGTGATGGTCAGTAACGCCCATGATGAGTTGACGTTTGCCTGATTTGGGAATAGTTTGAGGAATGAGTGAAGTGATGAGGAAGCGGGCGAATTGTTCCCGCTCAAAAGCACACTCAGCGGTGTTTGCTTCCGGATCAAATGACACAAGATTGTCTTCAAGGGACTTGATATCGTAATCGGACTGCGTAACAGGTGGCTTTAACTGCGACAGTTTCTGCTTCGGTTGTGTAAGTGGCACCTTCAAAGGAGACAAATGCTCTTTGGTCACAACTTGTTTAGCCGGCAGTTTTGCCGGCTGAGGTTGGGGTGGCTCCTGCTTAAGCGCCTGAGTTACAGATTTGAGGAACTCGTCATCGTCATCAGAAAAGGGATCGTCATCAGACGACGGCAGCTTCGTCTTCAACGGCAGTTTTACCTCCGACGGCAGCTTCGTTCCCGACGCTGGCAGTTTAGAATTTGCAGTTTGCAGATGGGTTTGTGAAGTTGGCAGCTTAGTCAAGGATACTGGCGTCTCAGAATCAGTCTTTTCAAAACGGTCTATCCACAGATCGAGGATACTTTCGCGGAGAATGTTGTTGGTTTCAGGCAGATCGTTGTCGATCGCCTGCACCAAACCGCCGGGGTCCAAGGGCTCTCGTACAGGCAGCAGCCTTAGATCCATCAACTTTTTCGCAGGATCATTGCTTGCACCGTATCTGATACCGTCAAACTGGTCGTCCAGCTGCTCCAGCACGTTATAGGTTTTGGCAGGCAGCAGCAGCAGCGGCACCACCGCGGCGGGTACGGGGAAAAAACGCTTTTTCTGAGGTATTCCAGGGTTAGCCAGGTGTTGCAGCAGTTCTCTTGACCGGTTCGTTAGTGTGTTAATGGGGAGCAGGCTCCCTCCCGGGCGCCGTTTCTCCCCCATGATCTCAAATCAGACGCGTCTCCAGTATAGCGCGCCTGCCTGGTAGAAAAATCAATGACGACACAGAGCTGAGGAAGATGAAAGAAGCTAGCAGTTAACACGAATACGAAGGGTTTGATGATCATCATAACAGTTTGATAACATTTTGAAACACCCTATTGAAAAGAGTAAACTTTTGTGCCACCCAAATCCGCTTTGGGTGACATTCGCAGCAGCTCATCGCCCCACTCAGTGCCGTAGAGACTTCTCGTGGGTAATGAGCAAGGGGTCTGATCTCGATATGTTTGCTTAAGAATTTGCCCTTAAGCCACCTCGGCTATGTTTGCAAGAACACTAACGCAAACAATACTGACGTCGGCACTCACTAACGAGAGATGAGCCGATGCTGCCGGACCAAACGACAACGTCGGCTTAACCGCTAAATTACCGGCAGCATCAGCACCGTCCCGCAATGCCCGGCACGAATTTACGCTCGGCAATTGGGAAATTAACTGCGTTGCGTAGGCTGCACTCTGTGCCTTAGCTCATCTCTCGGTTGGTTAGGGTAGAAGCTGGTAATTCTTGGTGCTAATTGAGATGTCTCATAATAAATAGGCATGATAATGATGTCGAAGTAACTTTGTGTTATGTTTGTGCTACTTGATACCTATATACCCTGTTGTGGCACCGTGTTTCCACTACACGTGATTTGCCAGAGCCAAATCACTATTCGGTCTATAACCACGCACTGTGGCGTTTACCCCTGGACTGCATATACATGTTGACAACAACACATGCATTATCCTGGGAAAATCAATTAGAATGGATCTGGATCTACCTATATACTTTTATTACTACATTTGTTACCTTTAAGCCTTTGCTTAACACTCCTCGGATTACTGTACCTGTACTACAGAATGCCCCCCAAACAATCTGACCGCAAGTCGGAGAACCAATATGAGAACCTTTCCAGTTCTACAGAGAATCCCGGTGGACCCGATTCTCAACATACCCAAATGGCGGACATTATCTGGGAGTACGAGGCGGGTCGGTCTGTTGTTTCTCAGTCAATTAGGGCTAATTTGGTGCAGAGATTATCCTGCACGGATCAAAAGCGTCATGCGATGTGTGCCATAAACGGTTTTTTGACGCTCTGCACCACGCTTCCAGTACCACTGACGTGCAATCGACGTCCTTGGCAAATAATCGCCCCCAACAGGCGGCCACGTAAACACCACGAATAAGCCCGCTCGCGTTTGGCGAGATTTGGGGCGATACAATTGGACACTGGAATAGTCGCACCAACCACCAAAAGTACTCATCGAAACGTCTCAATTGACTGAAGTTAACCGAATTACAGCCTGCAACTTTACCCTCGCCCAATTGCCATTTAGGGAAGATAATAATCAAAGCATCCACCACACAGTAAAGTGCTTACGCAAGAGTGTTGACACCACAACTCAAGCAGCACTGGGATCGTCCCTGCTTGGTTAGCCCCTATAGACCCCCTTTTCCCCCCTATAAAGTCAATTCACTTGTTAATACTAGCCAGAGTATCCTTCGGGAAGCAGCTTCCCGTATTCCCCCGAAACGGCTACAGACCACGCGCAAATTAACGCGCAAAGAGTGTGACAATTCTGCTGGTGAGCCATGGTTTGGTCCCGCCTAAGCCCCCGCCTAAGCCCCCGCCTCAGACCCCCGCAGAACTCAAAACCACCCGAATTTAAATTCTCTAGATAGACCAGTCCCTTCGCAGTCTTTTTTTCGACCTAATTTTGCCTCAAAGATGTCGGCGACACCAAAAATTGGACAAATGTCACGGCCATGCCGGGGTTGCAAGATACGGGTCACTGGTTCCAAACACTCACAGCTCAACCCGCGGAAATTTTTCGCCTCCGTATAACCCTCTACCGTAATGTCATCACTCAAACTTCAAACCACTACCATAATGATCTTCTCATTTTTCCGAGCACTTTTTGTTAGTACACCTTTAGGGATTTACTGCCAAATTTCCAGTGTAACTCTCACTTTTTATTTCAGTGCCGGTGTCATCGCGTATCCCTGAATGCAACGGAAAACCGATCGGCCGGCCCACCACCCACCGTCCATCCTTAAATCCCAAAGTGGGCCTATCACCCACAAAGCCATTATTTGGCCATGAGAGTATCGCCGAAACAGATACGCTTGGCCCACGCCGCCAGCCCTCATCTTGCTCGGATGCTTCGGGCATGTGGCGGACTTGAGCACGCCCAACGAGAGTGGCAGTGGATCAAAAACGAGCTTCCAAAACATGAGTGGGCACAAGCAGCGTACCGACGAAGCCGCTACGAACCGTTACAGTATATTCTTGGCACACAACCATTTGGCACGGTGGAAGTAAAATGTCGTTCGGGAGTGCTTATTCCGCGATGGGAGACTGAAGAATGGACAATGAAGTTAGCAGACTTGATTGAAGAAAACCTTCCTCGAGCCTCCATCATCGATGGGTGTACCGGTACTGGATGTGTGGCACTTTTGTTGAAATCAATGGTGCCCCAATCGTCAGTACTGGCATTTGACTTGTCGCCATCTGCACTCTCGTTAGCCGAAGAAAATTGCAACGAGTCAGGGGTTACTGTTTTCAAACACGATGTGTTCACCCCGCTAGACCGGCCAGCAGACATTTTGGTGGCTAACCCACCGTATATACCTCAAATCGACATGGAACGGTCGCAATTTCATCAGGGTCTCGAACGGCTGGTGCGAGAGTGGGAACCGCGAATGGCTCTCGAAGGTGATACTGAGTTTTACGAAGCATTAATAACCAACATCGTCGAACCACTGAAGGCCCTGGCATTTGTATTTGAGGTAGGTTATAAGCATCAATGCGATTTTGTGAGACAGCGACTTCCTCAATGGAAAGTGGTGGACTATTACGATAGCGCTGATCGTATCCGATGTGTTGTTGGCTACCTACGTCAATCCTCTTGGCTAGAAGCCATTACAACGTCAAGTTAACTTCCAGCATTCATTCACCCCTGCATATAATCCTGTAATTAGTACCACGCAATCATCGCTCGCAATGCGAATCTCGAAATGTTTCGACGACAAAGCGACGGAAATTCCTCATTTTCGGTAAGCGAACGACCTTTTTGTCCGATTGAGGATCGCACGACCAATATGATTAAAGTAGCAATGTCTGATGGTATAATGTGATTTATCGGGCTGTGATTTAAAGTATTTTGAAGTCAGATAAGATAAAATTTATTATTTACTGATATCAGTGGACCAAGGATCAACTCTATGTCGTAATTGCCATTGCTAAATTGGCTATGAAGTTATAATGAAAGCAAGATCCATCAAATTTCCTACCAATGTCTGCTACCACCCTCGAAACCCTACAAGTCACATGTATCCTAGACGTTTATTCGTTAACCATTATGCATTAGCCGGCGTCGACTCCTTGCTCTCCAGCGAGTCACGCTTACGCTTAAGAATCCCTCTCCCCACCGCCACAATGTCGTCGCTATTAGGAATCACCTTCGTCCCCCACAACACGTAGCCGCCATAACCTCTCATCGTCATCAACGGGTGCATCTTACCGGGCACCGTTTGGAACGGCACCACCCTCAGCTCAAACAACGACGGCGCCAACACCCGCTTGTCCAGGGTGAACATGTTCTGCACTTGCATCAAAAGCTCCTTATGCTGGTTGTAAATGACAATAGGGTTTGATCCGCCGACCTGGTCGAGTACGTAGGGTAAAAGCGTCGGCAAGTAGAGAGTAGTGGCGCAAATGAGGGCATCAAAACCACCGTTCTTCATCATGTCGATGGCGTAGTTGACGTCGTGGGCCCGCTGCTTGCGGCGGAAGTATTGGGTGCGTTTCAGACCCTTCAACTCGGCAATTTCAGTCTCGGAGTAGTCGACCCATTGGATTCGCAGTTCCTCAGGTTCCACCACTTGGAGCCAGTCGATCGTCCGAATGACCAGACGTTTATAGGCTTCGGAGTAGTCAGCATATTGAAGCGCCAGAAGGTTAGGGTACTCGTTTTCGTGCACCAACAAGATCTCACCTTCACCAGCCATACGCTCCATCAAAGCATAGGTAACCACACCAGTGGTGTCGTCCAATACAAGGTAACGACCACCAGGTTGCACGTTGGCATACAGCATCATCAACCCCAAACTTTCCATGCTCATGTCCAACATCTTCACCATATCCTTATCCTGGTGGTATTCAAGTAACTCGTTAACCCCAACGAATTCCACAGTAAATCGACGCAAATACTTTTGCTGTTTCCGCTTCAAGTATTTTTGTTGCAGATAAACCGTCTTCTTGTCAAACCCGTCGTGAGAGGCGATCATCTTCTCGATGATCTGCTGGCCGATCTTCGACAGCGGACCCAGCTTCTTAAGCTCAGTGATTTCGGGAAGCAGCAACCCCTGGATTTCAGCGCCGACATTGATGATATTCTGGTTGTTCTCGGCAAAGATTTGAGTTAAGTCGTCACGGGTTAACTCGATCTCTTCGCTGAGACTCGAGATCTGTTTAACTTCATGGTTATCCAACACTTCGAAACTCAGACCCCAGGGGTAGCCCAAGATGTTCGCCAGCTGGAACAGCCCGTATTTGCCCAACAGGATCACTCCCTTCTCCTTCAACTTTACCATCTTAAGCCCCGCCAGGGGGAGCCTGATCATCGCGTGCTGGCCCGCCAGGATCACGTGGCGGTTGCGGTGGTCCCGAGCCACTTCCGAAACCCCCTCGGCAGTGTTGAAGCGTCGCAATTCGCCGTCGTCCATCGTGGTATCAGCGCTGGGAGTCGTCATTGTATCGTTAGCGGTGGCCGCAGGCTGGGGAAGGGCAGGCGAGGTTTTTCGCGCGATGGCCATCGCATCGCATCAGAACACTAATCAGTATGGGGAGAAGAGCCAAGAACAAGCAGGGGATGCCCCCGACGTTGGAGGAGTTCCAGGCGGAGAAGGAAGGCAAGCGCCTGGGGAAGCAGCTGGCGTCGAAATCTCAGCTGAAAAAGCGGCTGGCGGAGGCCAAGGACTCCCAGCGCAAGAAGGGTAAGCCCGCGAAGAAGCCCGAGGTCGAGGAAGAGGAAGTGGCTCAAGTCGACGTCGAGGAGTTGAGCAAGGCCAAGAAGCAGTTGTTCGATGATCTGGATGACGAAGATGGCGAAATGGGCGACGAATACGAACAGGAAGTGGACTTTGAAGATGAAGCTCATGCGAGACCCATGTTCTCCGACGACGAAGACGACGAGTCCGACCTCGAAAACTTGAATGCCGCCAACATGGAAGCGTTCTCGCAAAAGCTTGACGAGGAAGACCAGCAGGAAGCCGAGGAAGCTGAGCTTGAATTGTTGGAAGGTGAACAAAAGAACCCCAGAGCGCAAGTGTTGCCTCTGGCAGAAGAGATGGAACAGATCGCTAAGGGTGGTCCTCAAGACGTGCACGTGGTGAGAACGAGAATCATTGAAATCGTCAAGGTGTTGGAAAACTTCAAGGAGCTTGCCGAAGAAGGTAAGCTGCGGGCCGAGTACACCCAACAGTTTGTGCGTGATGTGTGTGAATACTACGGCTACTCCGAGTTCCTTGCGGAAAAGCTCTCTGACTTGTTCACTCCTGCGGAAGCGATGGAGTTCTTCGAAGCTAACGAAGTGGAAAGACCCGTCACTATCCGTACCAATACGTTGAAGACCAGAAGACGTGACTTGGCTCAGGCTCTCGTCAACCGTGGGGTTAACTTACAACCCATTGGTGCCTGGACTAAGGTGGGGCTCCAAGTGTTCTCGTCGTCGGTGCCCATCGGGGCTACTCCCGAATACCTTGCTGGTCACTACATTTTGCAAGCGGCGTCGTCGTTTTTGCCCGTGATTGCCCTTGAACCTCAAGAAAACGAACGGATCTTGGACATGGCCGCTGCCCCCGGTGGTAAGACCACCTACATCTCGGCGCTCATGAAGAACACCGGGTGTCTTTTTGCTAACGATTTCACCAAGGCTCGTACCAAGTCGTTGATTGCCAACATCCACCGGTTAGGATGCAAGAACACCATTGTGTGTAACTACGACGCTCGTGAATTCCCCAAGGTGATTGGCGGATTTGATCGGATCTTGTTGGATGCCCCTTGTACCGGTACCGGTGTTATCGCTAAGGATAAGGCGGTGAAGGTGCTGAGAACGGAAAAGGATTTTATGCAAATCCCTCATCTCCAAAAGCAATTGTTGTTGTCGGCGATTGACTCGGTCGACGCCAACCTGGCCACCGGTGGTGTCATTGTCTACTCCACCTGTTCGGTAGCTGTTGACGAAAACGAAGCCGTGGTCGACTACGCTCTTCGCAAGCGTCCCAACGTCAAGTTGGTCGATGCCGGGCTCATGATTGGTGATGAAGGGTTCACCTCGTTCAGAGGTAAGCACTTCCACTCCTCGATGAACCTCACTCGTAGATTCTACCCTCACAAGCTTAATGTCGACGGGTTCTTTGTTGCCAAGTTCAAGAAGATCGCGTCGCTGCCTCACGATGTGCTGAAGGCCGGTGCCCTGGAGAAGGAGCGCTTGGCTCGTGCTGAAGCCGAAGAAGAAGGCATTATTAACGGCGACTTTGCTGAGTTCGATGACACCGAAGACAAGGACATCATGGACAAGGCGATCAAGCGGAGCATGAAGCGCCGGGGGATCAACCCCAACGCCGTCAAGGCGGATAACGATAAGGAGGCTTAGGGTATGTAGATTAATGATAGATTAACTAAGGAGACGCAACGTAGACCACTAGTGGTTGCTTTAATAGTGCCAACAGCGCCATTAAAACGGTTTCGTATTGAAAATTGACGCTGAACCGGGCAAATATACAAAAATCTAGTACTTCCTAGTTGACATCATTTTTCCAGGGCACATAACAGCCTTTATGGCCAAGTGGTAAGGCACCTCACTAGTAATGAGGAGATCGTCAGTTCGAATCTGGCTGAAGGCACTGATCTTAACTTTTTGTTCCACCTGTAGTGTTCTTGGCCAATATCTGACCATTCTCCTCATCTCTGATTACACATGTCTAATGTCATTTGCATTAATCTACGCGTCTAGTCATTAATTACATTTTGGTCACCTCAACGCATCATCACGTTACCCAAATTGTGTTCCTTGATGTATTCAGGACCAAGCTCATCATACTCTTTGCGAGTAATGTAGCCATTTTTCGAGTCTTCCAGATTGGCCCATTTGCGCATACCTCTCCACGGGTCAAGGTCACAATTACGTGCCTGGCGAACATGAAGTGGGGCACCTTGAGGGAGCACTGCTGTCAACTCCAGTTGGACTCTATCAGTGATGTTGGGCAAGTGACAAAGCCCCCCAGTCAAGAACACATCCTGAATCATGGCGTAAGACTCACCACCAGGGGAGAAGTTCCCATCTAAGCGACGATGGAATAAGTCAGACGCCACCTCCGTCACACCTGCTTGGTCCAAACCTGCCATATGCGGTTGGAAGAGAATCTCTGGAACCCGAATACGCTCGATATTAAGGTGCATTTGGTGGTTCTTCGTCACCATGTCAGGGTGAGAAGCAATTTCGTCCTCAGGAAGACCTTCAGCTTGGAGCTTGAACATTACATTAGGACGAGGCCCATGAATGAATTTATGAAGCACCAGCTCCTTCCAGTCAAATGACAATGATGCCGCAAACGTGTCAGCTTTAGTGAACAGAGGGTCGTGTTCTAGTAAGTCAGCTTCAATAGCGACAATATCATTATTGAGTTGCGCTTGCTCTTCCTCAAGCAGAGCATTGGTGACATCACGGTACACGGCCCAGTCATCGTCATTAGCACCGAAAGTGTCGTTGGGATCGTTATCCACAGTCACGTTAGCATTCTTCCGTCGTTTCCGCAGAGCAGCTGTCTGGCCCAGAGCATTTTGAGCCAATTCAGTAAGGTTACGCATCCGCAATTGCGCCGCAGCCAGCTTCCGGTCTTTCATCAGCTCCAAAATCTTACTCACCTCCTTATGCTTCTTGATCAATTCGGCAAGCTGAAGACGTTTAGTGGTGGTGTAGTCTTCCAAGTCCCGCTCACGCCACTCGCGCTGTTCTCGCTCATATTGTTCTTTCTTGGCTTGCTCTTCAAGTTTGGCTTGCTTGAGTTTCTCGCGAGCTTCCCAGTTACCCTTGGCGAGACGCTGCTTGCGTTTATCCTTCACTTGGTCGGGAGTCAATTGGTCATCAGGAATATCAACCAACGGCCACGCCGTCGCGGGATCCACCGGCTCGTCTTCATCTTCTTCACCGTTGTTCGACTTTTTCAAAGTCTTTTCGAGGTTGGCCACGTATTTGCGAAATTCCAGGATCGACTCAAACTCGTTCTCTTGAACTACCGCCAAAAACTCTTCTTCAGTGAGGTGGGCGTTGTCCTCCTTAAGCTTAGTATAGTAATCAAGTTCTTGTTGCTTTTGCTCAAGTTTCTCCTGACGCTTGATCCTGGTCTGTTCTTGTAATCTGCGCCCCTGTTCGCGACGACGTTCAGCTTGTTTAGCCAAAAACTCATCACTCTTTTTCCGTTCCTGAAACTGCAGTACATCCACTGGATACTGAATGACAATATCTTTCTTTTCCAATTCAGGCATATCCAAGAATGTTTTGAGCTCATTTTGGTAATCAGGAGAAACGTAGCACCAATCTTTGAACAACTCCATGGTATGGTTTGATGTAAGCTTTTGAGGGAAATAGGGGTATTTGAGGGCAAGTAGTTTACCCAAGAAGTTCGAAGCAGTATTACCACCAAAGTCAATCCGTTTCGTTTGACTCAATATACCTTTACCGGCAACCACAGGGATTAAATGGGTCGCTTCATTGCCCATACCAATGACAAGACCCGTAGATCGTCCCAGAGAGTTTTCGTAATATGAAAACAAGTGATCGATCCCCAATGCAAGCTTGGGCACCTGGTACACCTCGAACATCGTTTCGTACATCTGTTTTCTCTGGGCGAAGGGACAGCACACCGGTTCAGTAAGGATGACTGGGTTAGGCACGTTGCCGTTCGTGCTCTTCACCCCCAAATACTCGAACAGATAGTCGATAATGTTCTCAAACTGTTCCCAGTTGGTGATGAGGGGCCCATCGTAGGGGGTCTTCAGTGACAGCCGTAGCGTTTGGTAATCCGTCAACACGTCATTCCCAATGATGGTAAGCGACTTCTGAAGCTTCCGATCCCGATATTTCAGGATCAACGGCGGGAACACGTTGTTGGGGTCGTCGGCGTTGGTGAGCCCCACCCGGTAGCTCAGGGTGCCGAGGTCAAGGGCGATGGGCACGTCCTCGGCGTAGTTTTCGTAAAACCGCTCGGGGCCTGGCGGCGGTGTGTACTCACGGAGCTGGTGCACCGTCTGGGGTGGTAACTCGTCGGACGAGGTCATAGTGTGTCGCACCCTCTCGTCGTGAGCTTGATGGTGGAAAATGAGGGGGTGTCTATGAAAGCCCAACAACAGAGAGTTAGATGAGCTAGGCTCGATGAAAAATCAACGCAATCAGTGAGACGTGTTCAGCTGATGGTAAATCAATGACGTATTCAAGCGGAGTTACAAATGCGTGATATAAATCAATAAGTGACTATACAAGACTAGAGCCTAAGTCTAAACGTGCACATTGTCACTAAAACAAAACTGTTAAATCAATTAAACCGATTGGTTAAATTCAATTTCGTTCACTGGTTTTTCCTGGATGATTTGACAGTACTTACTGTTCGTGGCTGACGCGATCGTTCCCCAAATCATCCTCCAATTATTCCTACTTATAACAGCCCCTACCATTGATGCTAGAATACTTTTACCTCAATCGCTTCAATTGTTAACCCTTCTCTAAGATTCTCTTCCTTCTATAACCAAACTACCTGGTGGGCTCATTTGACTGGTCCCCCTGGCGTCGCCCCTAATAAACACGCCTCACAATAATTCGATCGCAACCACACCATGTCCAACGAAGAGTCGTCCCAATTCAACGTCCAGGGCTACAACATCGTCACCATCCTCAAGAGATTGGAGGCGGCGACGTCCCGGTTGGAAGACATCTCCGTCCACCAGAATCTGCTCCAAAACCCGCATGAGGTGCCGGGTACCGTCACCGTGACCCCTGCCTCGAAACTGATCGACCAGTCGCCAGCGGCCGCTGCTGGTGGCGCCCTGAAGCTGGTGGCCGGTGCTCCTGAGGAACAGTTACCCCCGGCGGTGGCTAAGTTCGAGCAATTCGTCCAGGACGTCGTTGACCCGTGGGTGAAGCAGTCGAACCTTATCGACCCCCAAGTGGCCGAATGCGCCACCCTTTTGCTTGACGCATTTGTCAGCGAAGTCGGTTTGCTCAAATTGGCGACCAGAACGGCCAAGCCCGACCCCAGCGACCCAGCGTTGGTGCAAGCGTTATCCCCGGTTAATGAGCGGGTGACCCTGATTGGCGACATCAAGGACAAAAACCGCCCGCTGCCGTTCTTCAACCACCTCAGTACCATTGCCGAAGGGGCCCCCGTCCTCGGCTGGGTGATGCTGGAAACTCCCGCTCTGTGGGTGGACGACTTCCGCGACCTGGCTCTGTTCTACCTGAACCGGGTGCTCAAGGAAAGCAAGGACCGCGACGATGCCAAGGCTCACCAGGAGTGGGTAGCGTCGTTCTCGAGGATCTTTGACGAGCTCCGTGCCTACGTTAAGGAGTACCAAACTACCGGCATCCAATGGAACCCTCAAGGAACTTCGTTAGCGGAATCGCTCAAAACCTACGGCGTCCCCACCCCTTCGGCTACGCCTCACCACTCAATGTCGGCCCCCAGCGGTGCTCCTAAGGCCGCTTCCGCCGCCGCCTCTGGTGGTGCTGCTCCTCCTCCCCCTCCCCCTCCTCCTCCTGCTGACCTCTTCGACGCTGAGTCTAAGCCCGAAGGCGGGATGTCGGCGGTGTTTGATGACTTGAACCGTGGTGAAGACATCACCAAGGGCCTCAAGAAGGTCGACAAGTCGCAAATGACCCACAAGAACCCCGAATTGCGCAACAAGAAGCCGTTGCCGCCTAAGAAGCCCGCTAAGTTTGGCACCAAGCCTCCTTCGCCCCCCGCTGCCGCTGTGGCCACTGGTCCTAAGCAAAAGCCCGCTAAGGTCGAGCTTATCGACACCAAGTGGCTTGTGGAAGGCCAATACAAGGCCGACCAGCCGATTGTGATCAACGCCGAAAAGCAGCAGCTGATTTTCATTGGCCACTGCGCTGACGTCACCATCCAAATCAAGGGTAAGGCCAACGCCATCTCGGTGTCGGAAACCAAGAACGTCGCCATCGTTGTCGACTCGCTCATTTCGGGGGTGGACATCATCAAGCTGGACAAGTTCGCCTTGCAAGTGCTCGAAGTAGTGCCTACCATCTACATCGACAAGTGCGACCAAGGGACATTGTACATCTCGCAAGCGTCTATCGACAGCGACATCAAGATCTACTCGACCTGTTCGACGTCGGTGAACATCAACGTCCCTGAACAAGACGATTACGTTGAATTGGCCGTGCCCGAGCAATTTGAACACCAAATCAAGAACGGTAAGTTGGTGACCCTGGTGGTTGAACACAAGGGTTAGAGAAAATTTATATAACTGATTAAACGACACGAAACGATCAACCCTGGAGTAGCTAAGCGGAGTTGCGCTCTTAACAGAGAAAAGCAACGTTGCCATCGCACATGAGCCCTGTACACTGATAACCATCTATCAGCCTCAAGATCATCGCACGCGTCCGCGTCTACATCGCAGCCATGGATGACAGTGTTCTCAAGGTGTTGGAGGCCCAGGAGGCCTCCGCAGAACAGCAGGAGTTCAACAGCCTTTCCAAGGAGGCGAAGCTCGACCGTCTCAATAATCTCATTCAAAAATCTCAGATATTCTCCAACATTATTGCCGATACCATTTTGCAGTCGAGTTTAAAGTCCAAAGAGTCTACCCCAGAAAACCCTCAACAACCCACTCCCGATGTGTCCCCTCCTCCTAAACTGAAGAAAAGAAGCCGTCTGACTAAGCAGAAAGCTGAGAAGAAGGCCAAGACCGATATCGCGTCCATGCTTGGGGCTAAGCCAATTAAGCAAACCACTAAAGATACCCGGCGCGAGATCGAAATGGCTCAGGAAGGCGAGAAACACACCGAACAACCGGCGTTGCTTTCGGGCGGTACACTCAAAAACTACCAGCTTGACGGGCTTCGATGGCTTATCACTTTGTATGAAAACGGGCTTAATGGCATATTAGCTGACGAAATGGGGCTTGGTAAAACTATCCAGTGTATAGCACTCCTATCTCATTTGATTGAGAATAACATCACGGGCCCGTTCTTAGTGGTGGTGCCGTTGACGACACGTTCTAACTGGGCCAACGAGTTCAAGAAGTTTGCTCCCAAAGTCAAAGTTGCTGTCTATGGAGGTTTGAAAGACGAGCGCAAACTGTTGGATTTGCGGAAATGGGGACGCACGAAGAATGTCGTTCTCTGTTCCTACGAAATGATCATTAAGGACTTGACTAAATTCGCCGACGTCTCGTGGAAATATATGATTGTCGACGAAGGTCACCGTCTTAAGAACCGCGAGTCTGCGTTAATCAGATGTTTGAAACAATTACCCACCGCCAACAGACTTATCATCACTGGTACCCCCTTACAAAACAATTTGAACGAGTTGTGGTCTTTACTTAATTTTATTCTTCCTGATATCTTCAGTGATCTCAATTTGTTCCAACAATGGTTCAATTTCGAGGAGCTTACCAGTTTCGAAAAGGACGAAGACGACGCTGAAACGAAACAGCTCATTAAAGTCGAAATCCAAGAAAACTTAATCAAAAACTTGCATACCATTCTCAAACCCTTTCTTTTACGCCGGGTTAAGCGTGAGGTCATTAAGGATTTACCTCCCAAGAAGGAATACATCATCCATATTCCTCTTAGTCCGGTTCAAGAAAAGTTGTACTATGACTGCATGAACAAGAAATTGGACACTCTGTTGGTTGAGATGATGACGAGACAGTTCTTCCGCCACAATCGTGATGACTTCGATGTGTGTGTTGAACTTATTGAAAAGGAGCTTCGGGGCACCAAGAAAGAAGCACTCTCTAAAGAATCTCGCCGATCCAAAAGAGTGACGTATGCCGAGGCCGAATCTGATGATGAGTTTGTTGTTGACGCGGATGAACTCGACGAAAGTCTACTGAAAATCCCCAATGCTTTCGACGAGGATTTGTGGAACTTCTCTAATCGGATCAGCCCACTTCCATATGAGGAGCAGGTACCCGAAGTCATCAGTCGATTTCAACAGATTGTACGTCAGTTACATCTCAGTTTCCGTATGATGCAATTACGGAGCATCTGTAACTCACCGTACATGTACTTTGACCCCATCGCTACTCCTCCACCAGACCATCCAGACAACGCGGAGGCCAATTCCAAGTTTGTGGCGGCATTGTTACAGAACTCGGCTAAATTTCAAGCGCTTGAACAACTTGATAAAGCTTTGGCCGCTAAGAAGCATAAATACCTTGTGTTCTCACAATTCACCCGAACGCTTGACCTTTTGGAAGATTACTATACTTCTCACGGCGTGGAGGTGTGTCGTATTGATGGTAACATGGGTCAGGAGGAACGTGATGAACATATTGCAAACTTTTACGAAAATAGCAATGCGCGAGTTTTCCTTTTATCGACAAGACTGGGTGGGTTAGGGATCAACTTGATCCCCGCAGACACTGTCGTCTTGTTCGACTCTGACTGGAACCCGCAAATGGACTTGCAAGCCATCGACAGAGTCCACCGCATTGGTCAAACCAAACCAGTGAAGATTTTCAGATTTGTCACGCGGGACACCATCGAAGAGCTCATGTTGACTCGTCTGGCGCTGAAACGATTCCTCGAGAGGCTTGTCATTCAGATGGGTCAATTTAAATTCAGTCAACTTAAGAAGGTGATGGGAGGCGCTGAACTTAACGATACCAGTCAAGTTAACGTTACTCAGTTACTTGAGATGTCTAGAATCACTTTTGGACGCGAGTCATCTAGCATCGCCCGCGAGGGTTATCCCGAAGAAGAAGGGAAGAGATTCAAGTTTCTGTCAAACACAATTGAGGAGTTCCTTGATCGTAGTCCTGAGTGCTACACTCTGATGGAAGACGGGGAAGAGTTTACTGTCTACGAGACAATTAATAACATGGATTCGTGAAGCGATCAATTTAATAAACATATGAATTCATTTGAGATGTATTTTATATAGCAATCACAACTTCGCCACTGACTTAAGCACGGTTTGAGCCTTCGACCGAGCTTGAATGGCCAGCCATACAGCAGCGTAACTCCAGGTCAAGTTGGGTGCACCCTGCATGAACCCGTTGTGACGATTGAATTGCTCACTCAAGGACCCATCTTCGCCGCTGTGAATGCGGATGACGTCGAGGAACGAGTCGGCGTAACCAAACAATGCCTCAGCGAAAGTCAGGTACTCACGGGTGCCCGGTTTGAGACTGGTGTTATCGGTGAATCGAGCCAACCAATCGGTGGATTCGAAACTGATAGCGGTGTCCTGCTCGTGGTGCTTGATGATGACTCTGTATATCGCTTCAGCGACGCCAGCGGTGGCAAGAAACCACGGGTTGCCCTGAGACGTTTCATACCCATCGTAAATGTCTTCAGTGTATCTGCCAATCGCGACTCCTTTACTCTTCTTATTGATGTCGTACTCTGCCCGCATTTGCTCCACCAATAACCCAAGCGAGTTGGTGATAAGGATATTGTCAACATCGAAAGGCACCAGTGAGTTTGCTCCATGAGTGTGGAGACTAGCAAGGACCACCGCCACATCGATACTGCGCCGATTGCCCTTTTTGTATTCCTCAGGGGTTTCGATGATGACACCGCGACGTGGAAAGGTGTTTTTGATGAATGAAATGATTTTGGGGGTAGCCTCTTCAAGCTTTGCCAACAATTTTTTGTCCCCGAACCTCGAAGCAAGCTGAATCCCGACCTCAATTGCTCTCAGTTGCACTAACGCAGTGTAAAAGTGCAACCCTTCGATCTCCTCCCAGAGATCGAACCCTGGTTGCTGCCAGTGTTCGAGCACGTACTCCAAGTCGTAGCGCACCACGTCCTCATAGATTTTGTGGCCTTTTTTGTCGCCAATCACGTCCAAGTAGCGAGCAATGGTGACAACCCGCAACGCTGGTCCGTCGGACTGAGGCCGTCCCCACAGCTGATTGAAGGCGGTGTTGTTGACGTAGTACTTAGGCTCGCCAAGCCCCAGGCGATTGCCAGAAAACGTCCCCGAAAGGGTGTCCAATCGCTGGAGTTTATACTGATTGTCGACGTAATCACCCACTGCTTTCACCACGACGTCACGGTAGTGTTTATCGGCGGCGGCGATATCCAATAACGTAGACATGACTAGCGCCGAGTCGCGAGTCCACTGGTAGAAGTAGTCCGGGTGGCGTTTGCTCGGCGACGCCACCACCACCCCGGGCGGCACGCCGGCGTCCTTGCCAATGTTTGCTAGAATGCCATCCACGCAATGGCGGGATTGCTCCACTGCCCACTCGTCCAACGGCATGCGTAACGGCTGTTGAAACGCTGCTACCACTGCTAAGGGGAACCAGCGCATTAGCAGTTCATGGCTCGGCACCCCTCACCCTTTTATAATGGTAGCGAGCGGTGGCCCTCGCCCGAACAAAGGCAAGGGGTGACCACTGCATCCCCCGAGCAAAGACGTCTATTACGCTAAAACACCACCTTCCACAACACGTACAAGAGTATAAACCCCACGAGGATCGCCCCGACAAGCTTGGTGAGCAGCAGCTGGCGGTTCATCACCTCCAGCAACTGGGTGCGGGTGCGGGACACGCTCGCCATCACCAGCTCCATCCCTTCTTCCAACGAGGTTAGGAGCGAGTTTTCCTGCTGCACCGACCCGTGGATGTCGTGGTCGACCGTCTGGCGGAACTGGTGGAGGGTCAGGGCGAGCCGGTCGAACTCGGCGTTGTTTTGCTGTTCCCGAAACGAGTAGTCGGTCATCGTTGTCCACAGTGTGCGCGGAGAGAAAAACCTTAAATGAGGAGTTGAAGAATCTCGAAATGTGCCAATTATTTATTGAAAAAAATCCTATAGATTATTATGCATTAGTGGGTGAGAAAGATCAGAGAGGCCCGCTTTTCGTCGTCCATCCCAAACGCATTGATGCCCTGTTCGACGTTGGCCACCGAGAACTCGAGGTCGTCCAGCGTGATCATGTCCCAGTACTTGTAGATCATCATGATCGTGAACACGTTACACAAGGTGCCGAAGAATAAACCATCAATATAATGCTTGGCCCCGTTGCAGATCTGTTGGGAGACCCCGTACACCATCACCTGGCCGGCAACAAAGAAGAACACCCCTAACAGAATCGCCCCAAGCAACCAGTAATTGCGAAGGGCGAAGAACACAAGGATCACTTGTGAGACAAGGTAGGCGGCGATGATGATGGCGTTGAGCACGAACGACACCACCATAAGTCCGGTGGTGTTGTCGTAATTTAACGAGGTGCCCCACAGCTTAAACGTGATGATGGCGATGATGAAATTGAGGGCGAACCACAAAAACAGGATGATGTACAACGACATCATCGACTTGCGGGTTCCGTCTTCCCAGAACTGGAAACAGATGATCCCGTTATATAAAAGCAGCACGCAGGTTGCCAGGGCGATGCCTAGCTGGAGAGCGACGAAATATGGGTACAGCCCCAGACTTGGCGGCAGCACCCCGCAATCAACGACAAGCAGGGCTACTGTCAACGCAAACGCCAAGTAGAAGAAATAGAGCATTTCTTTCCGCCCGATGGCGGTGTACTTCTTATTGACATTCCATAAGATGATGATGAGAATGAGCAACCCGCCAAAGTGGACAAAGGCGTTGCCGACTTGAAAGATCATCGTGTTGGCTAGCTCGACCGGTCGAGCATAGCAGTGGGCGATCACCCCGGTGTCGAACACGGTGGCGCCGGGGACGGACCCGATCACCGTACAGAGGGGTATACTGCTCTTTTCACAGATGGAGGTAAAGTTGCCGAACCCCATGGACTCAGATAGATGTGGGTAGCGAGGGATACACTAGGAACTGGCAGAAAGGGCAAACGGGCAAACAAAACCAAGCGACGGCGGCAGGCGACCAAAAACTTTTTACCGCGAATCGGCTTCGATCAGATCACTTATATCTCGCGTGGCTGGTTACAAATTTTCGCAAGCACCTCCCCCCTTTCGATGCTGCGGGTCGTTTTGCAACCAATTTGGGCGGCAGAGTGAGGAGCGACGAGAGCAGAGAAGGCTGGGCACGGGCAGGTGGGTGCGGGTTAGCAGCCAGGGAAATTTAGCTAGTTTAGGAATGTCAAACGCGGTTGTTCGCGTCATCATTCCCTGGTGGTAAACGACAAACTACAGCCGTAGGTCTGCGGCGGCATTGATGGGGGGGACGCCGTGTGGATCAGTGGATCAAAGCACCCCCTTTCTGGATCATTCCTTGCCAGTACGTGCTGTGGGATGCCGCATGTCGCTTGGTATGTGTGTATGCTGGCTGTGCCCACAAATGATCCCGAGGGTTATATTTAGTTTCGCGTTTCTCTCCAGGGCTCGCAACCGGAGGCTGCTGGCACTGCCTGCCTTGGCCTATTAATGGCGACGGTTGGGCGGCGAGGTAGACAATGAGCGGGGGGCAGACAAAGGCCCATTATTCGGTCGTCGTATGTTTGGTTCTAGGCGTTTCGCTTACAGGTGGTTCCCACTGTGAGATGCTCAGTATTTACCTCGATTAGGTTGCTATTTACAACCAGCCATCGGCGGATCACTGCGATCGCCGATCGCTCCGTGACTCTCTGAGTACGTAATTTCGCCTGTGATGAGAGAGGGTGGGGTCCACCCCCACCAGCCGTTAAGCCTAAATTGCATTGTTAACTAACAAAGAGTATTAGGTTTTATTGTCAAATACACCCTTGTCCTCTCTTTTTTTGTTTTTATCTCTTCATCGAACACAGGCTTAGATTTCCTCTTTGAATTTATTAAAAAACTGTAGTACATTAAGATATGAATAGGATTCAAATCATCAAATATGTATCTGAAGATCCGGAGGATGGTATGCAATTATTGAACTAAAGTAATCGTCTCTGGCGCCAGCCAGGGCGCTATATTCATTTGGGATTGCGTGGAAGACGAGCCACCAACTTGGGCATTCCCCAACACAGGTACCCTAGCTGCTTTGCCACATAGCAAATAGCCAGAGGTCCAAGGCCATCAAAGCCTTCGTAGCGTGGCCAATGCGTGCCGATGATGTTCATGGGCATCATCACCACCCCTTGCTTGAGGATCCACGATTTTACGAATAACGCCATCGACCCCACCGAGTCAAGCGGCACGAAATCACTCTCAAGCGATTGGGCAAGGCCGTGGTCGTCGCCGTCCATTCCAGGGGTAAACTCGAACTCCAGCCAGTAGTTGCCGTCCATCATGTTAAATGCATGTTGTTTGGGCCGTCTCCGAGACCCTTTCCACAGGTTGACGTCAGCAGAGATGATGTCGTTATCAACTACCCTGGCCACCACAATGTCTTTACCTGAATTAATAAAATGATCAAGTGGTTTCGCCACTTCGAACGTCTCAATTCGCTGGTCAAGGAACAAGACATACGGTTCCTTTTCCATTGCCAGATACATTAGCATGTTCATGGCAATGGCTTGGGTGCGTTTCTGCTCTCGTAAGAGCTCTTCTTCAGCCACCGATGGATTAAAGTCGCTAAGCGTCTTTTTCGTAGTAATAGGAGCATACACCAACGTCACCTTGTGGAAGTGGGGCGGCTCGTGCTTGCGGAAATAACGGTCGAAGCGAATGAACTCGTCCTCAGTGTTGCACAAAATACCCACAGCCACTTTGTGTCGGCCACCTGTCAGCTCGATCAAGTTGACGTATTTCTTGAGCTCTGGCTTGCCGAAGGTGGTATTCTCGTGGAGAGCCGTCAACACAAGCACCTCGCTGGTGGGTCCTTCGTGGGAATAGGTCACTTTCGTGTATGTGGATCGTTCAAGTTGGGTTCGATGCCAGCTGGATTCTTTGTTCACCAGGAGGATGGTGATGAACAACGCCACCACCGCGATCACGGCCACCACGGCAAAGCGGATCGCCGGCTGGGAACGTAGGACCTTGGGAAGCTCGACCGCCATAGGTGTCTGGTATTTGTCGGCGGATCTAATTTTTTTTTAAAGCCACCACAAATAATGTCGCCGTTTTTATATTTATGCGCCATGCATGGTGAAAGATTCCACTAGAGTATGTCTCTACCGTGCCCCCTTCACGACGAATGCTCGGAACAGAGCCTGAGGAGCGGGTGGTGTCGACCTATGTTATTTAGTGGATAGGGCTGAGCACAGGCGGCATCAGTCGTCGTCAACTCTAGCTCTGTCAGCGGGGTATGGAACGCCATTGCAACATCGTGTTACGTAACCATGTCTTCCCAACCTGCACTACTCCACCTTGCTTATCAACGCAACTGCGGTACCAACGTCAAGATTAGTATCCCACGGCTGTGAAATCGGGTGTTCAGACACCTATGAATTACGCTATAGGAACCAATACTACGCTACAAACGAGCAGTGGTATCCGTAACTTCTCGACTTCTCATGCTATCGCTTATTCTACAAGCGCATTTTGTGCATAACTGGGGACCTCGTGGCCCCCCCCCCCCTCACCGAAATCTCGAGGATTAAAATTCCGAAAAAGTCAATTTCAGTGGTCAGTTTCGGGGTAAGATTCGGGGTTAGACGACTAAATTGCACACGAGTCTTTTCTTGGGACAAATAAACGGCTGATGCCTGGGTTTGTTTATAGGAAGTGTGCTTCTAGTAAAACGTACATGCTGCGCCCCTGTCCCTCGCTCACGTCAAGCTCAACTTTTGCCGAATTATGTTCTTCACGGCACTGATTCTCGTCAGCCAAACAAAATTCGAATAAATCAACAGAGCCGTGCCACTCCATACGAGGTGTGAGCGAATTTTTGTAATCGAGCCACAAAATCCGCATTGGGATACGCGAAAGGACAAATGCGGATGCACTACGAGGCAAGGGGTGACTCATCAGGGAAGATCCTGGATGAAATCGTTTTCAGAGATATCAGCCTTTCCTGAAGGTTACAAGCCTTCCCCACTATACGATCTTTCTTGAGAGCTGCCATCTCGATCAATCGTTGCGGGAATGCCGGCGGAAGAGCTGCACCCGGATAAATTAATTCAAGTAAAACAGATGGATTTCCTAAACACGACTCCGCTATAGAACCTATCGATTGTATGTTACATATGGTATCATTGGAATCAGGTAAGATACCCCTGAATGTTGAGTTATAATTCCGGGCTAAAAAAAATGCAGGCACCACACCCTTAATGCATTAAGCATTGGTGGAGTCAATGCTAGCGGGTCGAGAACCTCCAAAAGACTTCCAGTCTTACCGCTTAGACAAAAAGACACAATCGAGTACTTTTTGTGGTGGCAAAGCATTCTAGAGGGCGGATTCCTTGTCTTAGATAGCCATGCAAGAAATAAGCGAAAGTGGTCGTCCCAGAAGGTCGTCAAGACCACAATCATTTGTCAATTGTTCTTACAACTAAATAACTCTTGTGGTAGAGCCGAAACTCGATACTTTCGTTATCGCTGACGTGGACATCTTGTCGAAGATTTTGACATCAGATGGAATGCCCATCTCAAACAGATCTTGATGTTGACAGCCGCCCAAAACTTACTTCCGCCAGCGAATAAGCCGCTTGATTACAGAATGTTTGTATTTTTTTGTATTATTAAGCTAATAGATTCGTGTAACTTCAAAATCAATCTTGAAAGGCAAGCAGTAAAAAAAAAGGACAGATGGACCTCAGAATGAAGCCCAACCGGCCCACTGAGACTAGCTCAGCGGGGAATTCATCGTAGAACAACCCGCCACTCCACTGAAGTCACCATTTCCAGGGAATGAGGCGCTGGAGGTGAACAAGTGAATGCTCCTCTCAACCTAGGACAAAGTAGAGAATTGATTGGTGTCGATGGGTGGTATTTATAGTCGTTCCCATGACAGTGGTGCCATCAGCTAGTTGACGCCTGATACCCGTCAAACGGCATCTTTTCGGCCCAGAAGGGAAGGGCTACGTCACGGGGCTTCATCATACCTTAATTTCAGGGGAGCTCTCCCCTGAGCGAACGTATCCCTTTCTTATTGAGAAATTGGACGCATCGGTGCCAGTTCCTGAACCCGGATGGGTCTCGTAACCGGATTGTTCCTTAAGCAACCATCACCTAACCTTTTTCGGTGACGATCTGATCCTGATGCGGCACAGCGGTATTTCTCAAAGGGGGTGAGCACAATAGGGAGAAGAGAGCCTACAATGGAGAAGTGGATCTAATGCAATACTGTGTTGCTATGTACATCGTTAGTTCGTGGTAAAAGGGGCCGGCCTTATACTTGGTAGGGGGGTGGCGTGTCAAACACCGGCGACGGGTTGAACCCATGCAGGTAGGAGGCGAACTCGCGCCGCAACTTGTTGTTGAATTTGGAGGTGTCGAGGTAGTTTTTCGACTTGGAATTTGACGTTGACGGTGACGTCTTGGGCTCGGCAGGAGTGACCGGCGTCGACGCCTTTTTGAGCTCGACCAACACGGGGGGAGACTGCGACTGGCGCGAAGAGGTGAAGTTGAAGTAGTTGTTGCCAATGCCCACACCAGACACGATCGACGGCGAGTCCAAGTGGTGCTGGTGCTGGTGGCTTGGCTCCAACGGGTACATGAGGTCGTGGTAGAGCTCAGCCGACACTCTAAGCGGCCGCGGCTGGACGATGGGGTCGACAGTAGTGGCATCGGTGAGGGTGGTTGATACGCTGGAAGCGTTCGACACCGCCACCGAGGAACTGTCGATAACCGTGGAGTCGTCGATGGTGCTGTTGGCATCAGGCTCAGTGGCTTGCTTTTTGCTTCCGCCGAGCTTAATCCGACGCCGACGGGGAGGGGGAGCTTCCTTGGCCGAAGCGTAGTAGCTGGTCGTCTGAACTTTAGAGATTGCCCGCAATACATCTTCGGTCTTGTTGACGTCTTCGTTGATCAAAATGTCGATGGGGATGCCGTTGGTCAGCTGTTGGGGTTGTGCGCACACCGACAAGTTTCGGTCGTAGTCGGTGATAAGCGAATTGAGCAATGTGGGATGGTTCAGGTACTTTTCCAAGTGAGACCGTTGGATGACATTCTTGAACTTAGGAATGGCAAACTTGAGTGTTTCTCTTGAGCGGTAAAGCTTCAACATTTTGCGGAGATTGTTTTGCAGTATTTGTTGCACGGGGACCACCACCGGATTAGCGGTAATGGTAGGGTTGACGGCAAGCAAATCGCGGTTGAGGGTATCCAAGTTGAGGAACTTAAGCAGGAGCTTGTGCATAAGCGTCGGTAATGTTTCGCGGAAGAGTTCTCTGATCTGGTTTTCGATTTGCTTCTGTAAAAATTTGGCAAGCACCTGGACGGTGTCAAAAGTCAGGGTGACTCTAATCAGGTCGAGGGGGTCATTGCGGAACACTAAAGTAAGCCCTTTAGTCTTGGAGAACACGATGATGCCTATCCCCGAGATCTTAATATTTGAGAGCTTAAGGTCGAGCGGAAGTGGGAACGCCTCCTTGGCAATGCCAAAGTTCGGGGTGACAAACCGGTGCAAGTCGATGTCGGGAGCATCGTTACCCACTTCTCGTTCAAGCAGGGTGGCGTTGTGGATATGTAGCGGGTTGGCGTTGACCCGGGTGTGGAGGGTAAGTTCAAAGTCGCCAGTATAGCTCACTTTGAAGATACCGCGGAACCGGTCCTGGTCAAGCTCGCCGATCTCCAATATCTCAAATTCAGGGGCGGCTTTGCCGAACTCTAGCTGTTTGATTTCGATGGGGGCGGCGAGGATTTTTGGCGGGTTGCCCAGGTTGAGCGCCAGCGTGAGCACGTCGCGAGTGTACTCGCGGAGCTGCTCCGTCTCGAGGGTGTTCCAATTTACATTGAACGACATCGGGAGCCGGCACCAATGCTAGTGTTTTTTTGGTAGTGGTGGAATAAGGGATGAAGGGATGGGAAGTTTTTTTCGGGTGTTTGTCGCTAAGGGTGCGCGCACACACTTTAATGTCCCGAACGCCTCGGTGAGACACAACGGGCCATACGGTAAACAACAAAAGAAATGAGATAAGGGGCCAGGAGCAAGCAGAGTAAATGCCGAGACTAAAGGAGAGCACGAAAGAAGAGACAACTAAAGAAGATATAGGGCCATCACAGCTATAATTGTAGGGTAAGTTTGGATAGTGGTAGTGTGGAGTGGACCCGGGAATTGCCAGTGATGACTTCCGGGGTAATAATCGTGTGAGGCATGACTCCATCCCTCAGCCCATTGCGTATCCCCGGCAGTGGCGTGTGCGCTAACCCCGAGGGGAAGGGATATGGGGATGATGGGGGTTAGTGGGGGATAAGCCAATGGTGGACAATGGTATTGTAAAGATTTAACTCGTGATAGTTGTTGTCATTGACGGCTACGGAGACGTGACGGGGCCGGGGTCTGCCGAGCAGTTGTGGTTGACGTCACGGAGCGTTCCGGCTGGCGCCGGGAGCCGCGCGCCGAACGCGTCCGCAAAATGTCCTACAAATGTCCTACAGATAATGTCCTAAATAAATGTGTATATGTCGCTAAAAGAATCACTGGGTCTTTTTGGCTTTGTTAGGTAAACCCACGTAGATGTAGTTGAACACAAACAACAACCACGCCGCCACCACCAACGCCGAGGACCCGACGTACATCCACGAGTTGGTGATCTCCCACAGCCGCTGGTACTCGTCGTTGGCCAAATGGCGCACCGTCACCACCCGCTTGTCTTGCAAGTACAGGTAGCCCGGGACCTTGTGGTCGAGCTCGAAGGTGAACATGCCGTGGTGGTCGGGGATGGTGAACTGCACGGAGTAGGCGTAGGCGTCGAGGTCGTCCAGCCCTTCCACCAGCGCTACCGGGCCTAAACCAGACATGTTAAGGCGCACGTAGGGGTCCAACATCTTAAACGACATCTGGACAGCGTCCTCCAGCTCGTAGGGGACCCATTCACCCTTCTTGAGCTCGGAAATGCCCACGGTGTAGATGGCATCGTTGGTGACACGGTACAATTGAGGGTTAACGTCGCGCGGTTCAGCGGCATTGATGTGGTTGACGAACTGGAGCTTAAGCACGTTGCGTTGCTGGAACGTCCACAGCACAAGCTCTTCAGTAACAAGCAGGATGTCGCCCACCCAGGCGGTACGGGCGTTGTTAAGCGCTTGCAACGCCGCGGCGGCGAACCCTTGGGCGCCGTAGGTCCAGGTGGTGTCTTCGCTCATCGGCGTGTCTTCTTGAGCGCAGAACGACGTCTCCAGACATCTGACTAAGGGAACCACCAACGGGTTATTGGCTAAAAGCGCCGCGCCGCCATGGTAGTCAGCGACATCAACGTGACTGACAATGGCAGGAGTCACGAGATTGGCGTCAGTAAAATGGGGGAGCGCCAGCTTATCGTCGCTGAAGTAGTCGTACACGTGGTACTTCTTGGGTGACGGGTAAATACCGATCTCATTCAAGTAGCTTCTTACGCCCTCAGGGTAGACACCATCGGCGGCGCCAATTACGAGCAAATTGCCCCCTTGATTGGTATAAGCCATCAACAGCTCTGCCAGCCAGGTCTTGGCGGTATTTTTCGCCTTAGCCTTTGGCAACAACACCACCGAGTCGTAGGTTTCCGGTAACAATTTGAACTCGGACTCCAGGTAGTCGAGGTAGGTCAATTCGGCGTCGCCGAACGCCTGCGCAGGTAGCGCCAGCTCGATGTCGTCGTGGTAGTTGCTGTCATACACGACGAGGGTCTCCAACGCCAGCGCCGCGGCGACAAGCCAGGGAAGAAGTCTCATGAAGCCAGGGTGGAGGATGCCAGGTGGGCGCGTTGAAAAATGCGCGTGGCGATAGGGGCGGCGACTCCGACGAGACTGTAAATGTTAGCGCTAAGCAATAAGCGCCACTCTCACTGCGAAGAATTACAATCAGTAGTTGTCTAATTCAGTTTTGAACTATTATCAGATAGAGTTGTCCCTTGCTGGAGATAGAAACTCGAAAATTGATGGCTAGGTCTCTCGCACCAACGTAAATGCCAACCACTTGGAATTTCATTAAAACGATGAAATAGTTACTTCAAGTGACTGATTATACCACCAGGTACTCGTTTATAAATCGGTAGCTTTATTTTAATATTCATATTTCTTAAATCAGTTTCTTCGATAACTAGTGCGATCGCATCTCTACATTATGAAGGTGAAAGTCGAATTCCTTGGAGGGCTCGATGTGATCCTGCTGGGGGTCAGAGAACATAAAGTCGATCTCCCCCAAGAAGAGGGAGAGGCGACGATGAGAGACTTGGTCAACCACTTGTGCAAGACCGTGATTACCGACGCTAAAGATATCCCCGTATTCATTGAAGACGATACCGTCCGCCCCGGGATCCTTGTGCTTATTAACGATACTGACTGGGAGCTTGAAGGTATGGAAGACTACGTGTTGGAAGCTGGTGACGTTATTACTTTCACCAGTACCTTACACGGGGGTTAAACCACTACCAAAATGAAGTGATGAGCCAAGCCATTAAAGTGAATTAACTGACTTGTGGCTAGGTCGAGCGGCTCTTCCAGTACTAGTGGTCACTGCCTTGTGGCTGTCTAAACTCAAAAACTTGTACTATTTGTCATGACAATAATGATTACTCCTATATAATATCAATCTGGAACACATACTCCTAAACGTGAGTAACTAGAGAAGATAAACTCTTATATTCATAATGGCAACACCCGGCAGCCAAGAATACCCCGCCCTTGCCATTTATTAGGGGTTAACGTCAAGTCCACTCGGTCGGAACCGCGTTGTACCACTACGGACACTTTTCTTCCCGGTGCCACTCGTTTGACTAAGGCTTGCAATTTGTCGTGGTTAGCAGCGTGGATATCACCGTCAAACACAACGATTTCGTCATCATCTCTTAACCCCAGAGCGTAGGCAGGTCCCTCGGGAGCCACCTCAGTTACGCGGGCAAAGGGAATAGTATACTCAATCGCCTTTTTAGGCGAAGGAGCAGCGTCGGAGTGCTCGACCATTACTGGCTCATCATCGTCGATAGCCATAGCATCGGATTTATGTTGAGCAAACGCCTGTTCGAGCTTGGTTTCCATCACTTTGAGTAACGCCTTATTATCGTTGCGGAGACGGATAATCTTCACTCGGAGAAGCCGGACGTTCATCACATCGATATCAGAGCGAGGGAAGCCATTGACGGTGAGATTGGAGTCCATATCGGCGTGGTACTGGTTGTGAAGCAAGTCAAATAGGAGGCCTAATTGGTCTTCGATCAGCCGCTTGATCGGGGCCAATTCCTCGATGGTAAAGTCACCAAAATTTATGGGGTATGTGGGTAACTGTGACTCGTCAAGATTTAGACTCTTCATGAGTCCACGGAACTTGGTTTCGCCGTCATCGTCGGCCATGCTTTGGTTGGGTATATAATGCGGTCTGTGTGTGACAGGGATAAATGACGTTTGTGCGGCGCGAATCGATCGCGGACCCCAGTGGCAAATCTGGATTACAAACTATGGGGAAGAGTAATACTGGGTCCACAAATACAATTATGAGTATTGATGCGTCCAGGTTTGCTATGTTAGAGAATTCTGTCGTCAGAGATGGTAGCTGATGAAGATTAAGTACTGATTTGTCGTAATTGCGGGTAATCCAAGTAAGTGGCGATAATAGCCTCTGTATGGGACACCGCTAGTAACTATGGGTAGTGAAGATAGATGTATTAGCCTCAAGTGACCAATTTTAAGGTCGGCAATAAACGTTTATCATTCACTACAAGTGCTCCTCAACGGTTTTTCACAAATAACCCTATTCAGCTAACCAAACAGTGGAGCATCGATGCTGTGCATGAGACGTATATTACCGATGGTTACTGCCGAGTTTGGCTGGGGTAATGGCGGCTGATGACATCATTCACTACTACTGACGTTAGGGTTACCAACCCTCTTCCCACGTGACCCTTCATCCCATTACCTAATCGAGATTGTCGCCGCGAGTAGCGCTGTGTGCCGGCGCGCGCGAAGGTGCAAAAGTTTTTCAGCCCAGCCAGTCTTGACCCTTCCACATAGTAGCAATGGCCCAAAGAGTTACCTACAGAAGAAGAAACCCTTACAACACCAAGTCCAACAAGATCAAGGTTGTGAAGACTCCCGGTGGTAAGCTCATTGCCCAACACGTCAAGAAGATCGCTTCGAGACCCAAGTGTGGTGACTGTGGCATTGCCCTCCCCGGTGTCGCTGCCTTGAGACCCAGAGAATACGCCAACATCTCCAAGACCTCGAAGACCGTGCAAAGAGCTTACGGTGGTCTGTTGTGTGGCAACTGTGTCAAGACCAGAGTCATCAGAGCCTTCCTTACCTCGGAACAAGCCATCGTCAAGAAGGTTCTCAAGGACGCCGAAATCAAGGAAAAGAAGGCTGCCAAGAAGACCGGCAAGAAGTAAACAGGGGGTGGTGTTTCGCTCTAAGCAGATTTAATATATGTATGGGATAGAGAATGTAACATAGACATGACCTGAAAAGTGTAGGCCCGAGGCGACCAGCGGGAGGAGAAGTCGCCAGACTTCTCCGACTGGCTGGGCGACGAAGAAGTTGACTTCTTCGATTGGCAAACTATTCATTCAAAAGGCTATTTGTCGGTGTCAGGTGATGGTGGTCAATTTTACGAAGGGTGGAGAAAATGCTTCAATTTCGCACACGATGGATATAAGATGAGGATTTCTCTGACAATTGAATATGGCTTTCACCTGATACAATTGACCTTTCATTGATACTGCTTGAAACATTGGTCTAATTCTGACACTTTTTAGTCAATTGATCTAGACTTTTCAGATAATTAGAATTTGCCTAAGACTTTTCATTGATCTCCTTCAACATTACTTCTCTGAGTATTGACCTATCGCTATGACAACTCTGAAAATTGATTCACCTATAGTTATTACTTTTGTGTTGATTGATTTATAGTTGATACTTTTATGACGATTGGCTAGTACTTTTCGGGGTATTGAACGGGTACCACTTCGGTGGTATCAGTAAGCAGTTCTTCGCGGGCTGCCACTGGCAATTCCTCAGGTACTGGCTCCGTCTGCTTCGCCGAGCGTTTACCCCGGATCGCTTTAGACGAGAGATCAACGCCACGCCCCATCACCAACGCCGGGTGGAACACCGTATACAACACTGTAGCACAGAAGATCATACTCGACTCCAACACGAGCAAGTAGGGCTCGTGGGTGATCAAATAGCCTCTCCAGCCCTCAGCTAACTCCACCACTCGGTAAATACACCGCACGTAGACAAAGCCGACGGATATCACGATAATCAAGGGGAACACGCCGAAGAACTGACGGTGACGTACACTAGCATACTCGGGAGTATAGTACGGGTCCTGTTCCCGTTTACGAGCTTGAGCGGAGCGAGTATTAAAGAGCATACGTCCAAAAGTGCCCATACCAAAGCCACTCCCGACACGCCACACCAGCCACAAGAACTGGAATAAAAGGATGAGGAAAAGCGACATCAGCAATACTTGAAACGCAATCCCGCCCACCATGGTATAAGTACCGGGATCAGCATCATCTCCGCGAGAGAAAGCAGTACCAGCTAACCCACCACCAGCGGCCTGTACCACAAGCGAGATCACGTCACACACAATGAAAATGTACAGGTACCCCATCGGTGGAAGTAGCGAGTATTTCCGTCCGTATATGGCCACGAGCTGGGCCAAAAGGAAGTATATCCCCGCCATGATGAACGCGGGGGCAATCGTGATACAAATGAACTGGCAGAGAAAGTACAGAAGCGTGTTTTGCTCGCCATTGGCAGCTAGGGTACGCGTGAGGTAGCCAGCAAATTCAAGACCAGTGCCACAGAACATACACACGCCGAAATAGACGTGTCGCAGCCACACGGTAACAATCAAGTACCATAAACAGAGTAAGCCGAACAAAGCGGTAAACACAGCATTACCACCGAGACTCAAACGGGTCCCATAGAAATTATCAATAGTCTCCAAATCAACCAAATTCAAGGTAGCATTGAAAACAGCACTCAGCGCCTGAGCCACCACTGATGGAGCGGTGGCCGTTGCCAACACTTGCTGGCCTCTAGCGACGGTCAACAGCGCCTCCGCCGCTCGCATCAGCTTGATAATGAATATGGCATCGGCGGCCTTATCGGCTTTCCCCAACAGCAGCGAAAGAGCACTAAGCGTGCTTGTTAACGCCGCCACCTTCGTCGGCGCGATATACGATAGCGAGGTGGTGGTCGGCACCACCAGCGGCGCCCACGTTGACGCCAACCGCAGCAGAATCAATTGCAGCACGTCCATAAATTGGGGGTTAGTGTGGGAGCCATTTTACCAGTATATATCGTCGGCCCCAAGAAAAACCCGCGATGCAGGCAACCCAAGCAATTTTCCTTGGGTGTAGGGCAATTCAACCACTCACAGCGGAGCCACCCTGCGGCTGACATTCTCGTCGTGGCTGTGGCCTTTTGGGAGTGAGGCCAGTAACGGTGTTTGTCATAGTAATCTTTAGGTGTTAGTCTGTACGTACATTTGAGGATTTGTGACTGGCATTGTTTGGCCTGCACCTGGCGCACTTGTGTTACACCGTTTCGTGCAAGCGTCGCTATAGCCGTGTTTGCTAGCCGCGATTTTGTGGGCGCAGTGAGAGGGTAGTTAGCATGCGCTGAGAGGG